GGAGATGGGAAAAGTTTACAATACAATTTTTTTTTATGACGTCGTTTTTGATTTTTTCTAATAATTATTAATTTTAAGACTCGTGTCGTCGTGATAGACAGAAAAGCATTCTATTAGAACATAGCAGATCAGAACATTTAACTATTTATTGTATTTCACATCGTTTGATGTTAGAGTAAGTCGTGTAACAAACATACCGACTTTCTCAAATGCGAACAATATTCTTCACATTTCATTTAGTACAATTTTTATCCACATTTTTTTATTTATTGCTTAGATGGGTGGACGAGCTCACAGCCTACCTGGTGTTAAATGGTTACTGGAGCCCATAGACATCTACAACGTAAATGAGCCACCCACCTTGAGATATAAGTTCTACGATCTCAGTATAGTTACAACGGCTGCCCCACCCTTCAAACCGAATTACTGCTTCACAGCAGAAATAGGCAGAGTGGTGGTACCTACCCGCGTGGACTCTCAAGAGGTCCTACCACCAGTAAATAACCACATGAATTGGTATGAAGATTAATATAGTTCTAGCAAAGACGGAATTCGGAAGCGATTTCCTTTGAAGGGAAAGGGTTTTGTCCTGTACAGTGGATCCTCGCCTGGGTCCGTCATTAGTTTACCCAACCGAAGCAACACGCAGTCCAATTTGCGAAACATCTCGAGTCTAGTATTAATATCCACTGCTATTTATAATGATTGTAGCAGTGCATACCAACGCGATTGCTTGGGAAACCGTAATAATACACACATTTTCATGGTCTGTGGGCTCCGTATGAGGTAGCCACTGGTGGTTTCATTGACATGTTCGGACATGTATTTTTCTTGACCGGTGGGTAATTTTAGTTCAATTTTATTATGTATCGCCATTGTCTGCGGCATAGATTGGAGCTTACGTCATTTCGTCTGCTGAATTAAGCTTTAGTAACTTTTTTTTAAGATTGAAGGATTACTGGTGGCCCTGAGGCCTTTCCAGTTTCACCAGGACAGGTGGGCGAGAAAAGGCTCAGCCAAGAGGGGTGGGATTTGCTAACAACTACCCGAGCGCCTCCGAAGGATACTTAACAACTCAAGAGCAGCTGCTTCGCGAATGAATCTATTACCGGATCGGAATTGCGACTCGCTGAGAAGATCCGGCGAGAAACTCAGCGAGCTGATTCATGGGTTAGGTTGCACGACGAACTCTTTGTCGAGTTCGACGAGTACGGTTACCGGGGTCCCTAAGCCTGCTCCTAGTGTTAGAGCTGAAGGCGTATAATGCAAAGGTTATTGGATCTGATGGATCCGTAAAGACGTGTCTAGGGCGTCGACGGTGACTGGCTCCTGCGTGATCAGGATTTGGGGAGTAGTCAGCGGTGGCGATAAGACTATTATCATGACGACTTTAGAAACTAAGGCTCTATTGCAATCGTTAATTTGTGCTTTTTTGCGTGGATGAGCTCAAACCTCTCCTGGTGTATTAGCGGAGCGCACAGATATGAGAAAGGGAATGTCGCTAGACACTTTGAGACATGAGGTCCGTGCAACACGTGACTCCTTTACAGCAGGCAGAGGCAAGAGGCAGTGGCAGACTAAAACCTTTTGGGGGTCTTCATTGCGCAATAAATACGATATATTTTAACTATTTTTGCATAAAGTCGATCAGCGATATGTCAAACCGTATTAAAGCCAACTACGATTTTATGTGATTACATTTAGTCCATATTAAAGTTCAATGATCTGTCGATATTAAATATGTGATCGCGTGTTGAATATGGTTTACTTATCTATTCGATACGTCTGTCGGTGTATAAGTCACTTAACACGTTTTATTATAAATAATTCGAGTTATTACTATAATATTGGAGACGTGGTATGTTTCCAGATACGTTTTCGTTACTGGATATGGTGCACGGTAAAGTTTATCTTTGGTGGGCGGCAATATTCACGTCGGTTTGGGCGTCGGTAATGAACAAATTAGTTTTAGACTTCCCTTGTAGTAAATAAAATTAATAAATAAGTAAGCCTGTATTTCCTTATCCTTAACTTTCATTTCAAATGTGGAATTTGTTTGTTAATGTTTTAAGTTATTAACGTTTTGCTTATTGTCTGAATGTTAGTAAGAGTTAGTTTTTGTTAATGGATATGGACTCATCCTCGGGTGAAGGCCTCCTTCAGTCCTTTCTACTGATCTCTGTCCTTGCCGATAGTTTGCCAGTCCTTTCCTATTATTTCGGTTATGTCGACGATGACATAACACTTGTAGTACATTACTGTAGTTTCTGCTTCTCATACAAGTGACATAGAGCAAGCCTATGGGGTATGTTAAATCGGGGCATTTTCCTATTACATTTTTGTTCGGTCTAGAGTTGCTGCAGTATCTTGTGTACTGCTAGACATAAAATTATTCTATAGTATGCATAGTATGTTTTGTTCCCTAAATATTCACTGGCAACCTAAGGGGCTATTCCAAATACGCCCGGACAGGTAGGTGAACTCACGAGCTAAACCTGAGAGAATTTTCTAACATTAGCCCTAGCCAGAGCAGTGTTTTGCAGAATCTACCACCGGATCGGAATTACGACTCAGTGAGAAGATCCGGCGAGAATCTCAGTGGGCTGTGTCTATGGGCTAGTTCGCGGTGACCCGTTCTTAGAACGAAGAGCACTGAGAGTGGATCCGAGGATCCGACAAGACATGTTTCAGGCGACGGCGCCTTTGCAATGCCCCATCGCCTGGGTCAGATAATATGCATTGTATAAAAAACAGAGACATGATTTGTCTATTGTAGTCTATTTTCATGGATGATCGTTAATTTTGATGCGGTCGTCAAGCAATCGGAAACTAGAAGGTGTATATAGCTTAACTATAACTTTTATAAAACATCCATACGTCGTTCATAGAAGTTTCTAGATGTCAATAAAGAGCGCATTGCGATGCCGGCTACAGTGCCGGGCGTACAGTGAAACAATAATTGAGCTCCAATTACAAGAATTTCCAGCAACAAGGAAATGCTGCGCTCTGTTATCGCGGCGTGCAAGGTTCCCTTCATGCATTACGATCGTAAACTTGGAACAATGGATCGCTCGAAAATGCTTATCCCGATTTTTAGTGTTGCGTGCTTAGAAAGAACCGCGGAAATGCGTGATGCGAGACTCAGAAGTATCTGCACTGTGTAAGGTCTGTGTATTCCTGAAACCGAAGACGGGTCGTGGAGCCGGTTGATGCAGACACTATGCCATCAAATTCATTATTTATTTTGTGAAAACATAATAATAATAATAATAATAACTCTTTATTTGACACCACATGTACAGAGTAAGCATATAAAACAAATAATAGACGGTGACATAAATTGGCGGCCTTATCGCTGAAAGCGATCTCTTCCTGGCAACCTTGCAGGGAGAGGAATAAGCAAACTAGCATGGACGGTGCTATATCTTAATAAGCTTACGTAGAAATATATACTTATATACACATGTGAAAAATAAATACAATACAAGATAGACTTACATACGATTAAATACAAATAAATACTAAATAGATGCAAGTAAAAACAAAATAAAATAAGTAGCAACTTATACAGTTATATCGTAGGAGCCATATTATTGTGCAACATAAGTGTAGTTAACGAAATAAAGTGAGTTTTACGGCTTTCTCCCCACCCCTCTCCTGTCCAGCTGCCATTATTCTCCCGTCTGTCTGTGGGTTAATTCGCTCGTCGAGCCCTTCGTCGCAAGCGACGGGTTCGACCAGGACGGTGCCCGGGCGACGAGGATGCGAATTGGATCTGCGTCTTATTTTCAAATTTCAGAATGTTTTTTGCATCGCCCTCAATGTAATACAATTAAAGGTAGGCTGACACGCGGATTTGACCGCTGGCGGGAACTAGTTGACTTCACATTCCATTGCGCTTTCATTTGATGGTGACTGCGGGTACAATAAGAATTGTAATTCTTTTTTTGATAATGTCTACTATTATGCAACTACCGCTGATAGCATTTTTGGAAATTATAAATGGGCTTAGTAAGATTCAATTTAGGGTTTAAATGGAAGTTAAAAAATTTCAACTTGAAATTGTAGAATTCTCATAGGTTTTGTTTTGTCTTGGAAAAATGACTCTTATTTTTTAGGAAACAAGGTGGATGTAGTTCTCGGATGTATATTTGTTTGTAACATCCTGTTGCGGTGCCGGCGCGCGGATGTGGCGTAGGCAGTGACCAATAAAACCATAAAGCTTCGAGAAGTTTTAAATATTACGGTTGTGAAATATTAGGTATTATCTACGAATACATTTTCGATGGGTATTACCACTTTTATATGGTTGTGTTTAGTTTTTTTTTTTTTTTTTTCTAATATCTCCAAAATATCTTTCCGATATCAAACGACTTTAATTATTATTCTTTGATTTTTAATAAGATCTCACCTTATTAACTGTGACGAAAAAAATATTTTAAATGAAAAGCAATCAATCGTGTGTAACGATCAATCAGTGTCTAAGAACTAACTAAGAATAGTCTTAAAGCGGACAAACTTTAAACTACACTAAACGTCGCCCAAATAGAACTAATCTGTTGGTTCCTCGAATCCCCTTACGGGGGAGAGGGTCGGGCCTCAAGGCATCCCTCTCTGCTCAGGCATAGGCCCCCTGCCTAACGATGCAGGAATGACGAGATTGCTGGAATGAGTTGTTGAGTGAGAGTTGTTCTGAAATTTGAAGTTTGAAAGTTGTTCTCAAATGAGTTTTTTTCTGTCTTCCTTCCTCTATTCTGTCTTCTCTTCCAAGAGCGGCCGTTACTTTCCGCCAAAAATTGTTTTTTTCAAGCAAATACTACATTTTTATTTTATCCACAATTACTCGGTTCAGTGTCGACGAACACCGTTCCCATGTAGATTCATTCTCTTCACCATTACGTAGCACCTGTTAACTACAACCTGTACATATTTAATTAGTCCTGAGACTAGACTAGCGTTTGTCAATGCATAACAACAGCGGTTGTCGCCCGAGACGCACGCGCGCTCTCCGAACCTTCTCGAACAAGGAGCCTCGCAAATCGAAACGAAATTACAATTATGAAATCGTAGTCAAATTAAATCATATTAAAAGTGTATTCGAAGAGTTTTACCGCCAAATTCGAAATTGGAATTCGAATCGTGTTTATTTTTTTCTAATAGAACAGCGCATGCATTAGTTTAACGCGCCTTGAATTCGAAATACGAAATTCGAAAAACTTATTAGACTTAGCAAAAAGGCAAAGAAGTTTTACAAGAAGATTCTGTGTTGGAATTTTAATTGTGTCAAAGTTGATGGAAAAATAAATATTTAATTTGTTTGTGTGTGAGTTTTATTGGACTGTGCCTGGATTTGGTTTATCTGTAACGAGATGACCCCTGTCGGACTACTGTTCAAAGTCAACAGGTAAGGTTTGAACCATTAGTTAAGGCTGACGGCGCAATGGATTTAAGAGTCAAGTCAACTTTTAAATTTTATTAAGCTTCAATAAAATAAACTCACGTTACTATTTGTATTGTTAAAAGCATTTCCAGTCAGGCTTTTGTGTAATTCCGTTTAGTATAAAATCGTGCTGTATTTATTTAATTCAATTACTAAAAGCCTTGTTTATTTTTAAACCCATTTTTAAATTAATTTTAGTATGGTCGTGGTTAAAGAAGATTTTTTTATTGTCGTTTTGGGTAGACGTGCTAACGGCCTGGTGATGGTGAATGGTTACCGTCGCCCATGGACGTCAGCAATGATGATCGATTACGAATACTTAATTTGAGCTATGTCCTTCGTAAAGCGGATGACATCGCCTTAAATATTAGTATGCCAGTGAAGTAGCAAGTTTTTAAACACAACACAATTCGGGAAGGTGTCACGTGCGATCGTGTTTGTATTGTACATATTTTATTTTTTAGATCTAATGTAAGCTGTACGTACGCTCTTTATGGTACCCGTGTATTTATAAAAGAGATCCATCTGTGTTGTGATATTATTACCGGGAATTTTATATTTTGTTTTACCATATGTTATATAGATTTAAAGAATAGGATTTAAAGAAATGTAATTACGACTGTTGTAACGTGATCAGATTGAGCAGTGATCCGTATGTAATTGTTGATTTTATTGTTATTACAATTAATAGTTTTGGAAAAATAGGTGCGTATGGCTTAGTAATAAAGGGATGATCGTTTGTTGACTTGATATTAACGCTTTATTGTCGTTGTTTCGTCGCAGGTTATAAGAATAATAGGATTTTTTTTACAGAGACTGTATATATTGCGAGATTGTCTTCAAAATGTCGTTAAGAGTTTTTGCTTAATTCCCTACATTCTGTAATAACTACACCGTGTAAATGTTGAAGTAATTTACATTACTATGAGGAAAAATATTAATATTATTTAGGTACTTCGAACAAAATTATTTTACGTTTTTTTGCTTAAGTGGGTGGCCCACGTGATGTTAAGTGGCAGAGTTGTGGTACCGTGCGGACTCACAAGACGTCCTACCACCAGTTATTACGCAAATTATAATTTTGCGGGTTTGATTTTTATTGAACTTAAAAGTCAATCGTGAAGATTTGATAAGTACGTATTTCATTAGAAAAATTGGTACCCGCCAGCGGGATTCGAACACTGGTACATCGCAAGATACGAATGCACCGGACGTCTTATCCTTTAGGCCATAACGAATCCTAAATAAATAGCTTAAATAGTGAGAATCCCATTAATAACTAAGTACACTGATGAATAAATACGCTACGGATGCAATTAACAAACTCACGGATAAGCTCTGTCCACTCCGTTTAATTAGCGGCGCGATGATATTTTAATTGCAGCTCCTTAAGATTAATTTCTACGAATTAAGCAGTGGCTGTTTAACGATCACCGTCCGATATGCACGGGCGAGTTAGCTTTGTGCACACTCCAGCAGGCGTGCGATGCCGTTTTCNAACTCTTTTGTCCGTAGATCTTGTAGGTTGTATGATGCTAAGTTCTCTAATGCTGATATCTTTTACTTGTCACTTGTAGCATATAGAAAAGCTGTTTTGGAGTGTTTATAGGGTGATTTGGCCCGATAAGTGTTGTAGTTTTATAGTGTGAGTTAATGTATAAAACGATATGTGCGTATTGTGTTGCTTTTGTTTTTTTATAATTTGAATTTCTAAATTTTTCTTCTTGTTCACTGTCTACTTATATGTGATTTTGATTGTGGAAACATATTTGGTTATTGTTTTGGCTATTTTTTTTTTAATATTGTATGTTTTGTATTGTACTGTTTGTTTCCCAAATAAATAAATAAATAAATAAAATAAATAAATATTAACATACAAGAATTGCTCGTTTAAAGGTATAAGATTTGGCTCTCCCTCCGTGCGTCGTATTCCTTAGTGACCTTTACGGAGCACTTTTGCTAGGACTATTTTATTTATTTTATTTATTTCATTTACTTCAGATTTTGCATCCATATTACATTCATTAACATTTCATGTAGTATACCAGAATTAAATAAAAACAATAACTACAATCTCGGAATAGAATAAAAGCAATAATAATAATAACACAACAAAAAAATCAAATAATAATAATAAAACAAAACTCAAAATTAACGTTAAAACTACCTTAACCTAAAGGCTGGTTTGGATCCAGAGTGATGTTCCTCCATTTATTCCTGTCCTCCGCGCAGTGGATATCGACGTTGATGCTGAAGTCCAACGTCGTCTTAATCTGATCGGACCAGCGCATGGGACTACGCCCCCTGGGCCTCTTTCCTTCCACTTTGCCGGTGACGAGATTATCACCCTTATTCCTCGCAACGTGACCGAAAAACTCTAAAATCCTATGTAGGCAAATGGTGGAGTCTTGTGGAGACGCCTAGTTCTTCCAGGATTTATGGCATTTGGCTCTAAAGACACATAATTTGTTTTTTTTTTAATTGAAGTGAAAACTTCTTTAGAATCGTTGTGATTTCAAACCGGATGCAACGGAAAAAACGACAGGTAAGAGACACAAATACAAAAATGTGTAGGATGAAGTCAGCAAAGAATGAGAGAAATATACATACTATTTAATACAGCGCCATCTGTGAGATTTTTTAATACTAACGTGTGTATGAAAGCTCTTGTAGTGAATTTTAATTTAGGATTATACGTGAAATTAAAATATCAATTCACAGAGGGCGTTACCTTACAATTATTTACTAATGACAAAATTTTACATATACTTAAGACGCTTAGGATAATTGTATTTTAATTTTGGAAGGTTTCACTTCTATCACGTGTGAATTGCACACATTTTGTTTTTTTAATTAGTGTGACTAGTACGCTGGTACAGTAGTAAGCTTGTGACTGTGATGTCCAGCGTCGTGGGTTCGATTCCCACATCGGGGCAAACATTTGTGTGATGAACAAATTTTTTTGCTGTTTGCCTGGCAGCTTAACTACATAATATGTATATTTTTAAAAGTATACTAGTATGTATGTCAGTCTCTGGTACACATAGCCCTGTGCTAATGCTAAATTAGAGCCGAATGACCGTGTGTGATTTGTTTCCAGTTATTGTTACGAGGTTCACCCCTAGTGATTAAAGCTGTTTGATTTATGTCGCTTAATACGTTTTCGGTTAATACGCGACATTTATCTTTGTAATTAAAGGTCTGTTGGTATTAGTATTGATAATTCGATGTTCGATAATTGAACTTAAATTAAGTTTATTTATCTACCAACCGGAGGGATGCGGCTCCGTAGGGAGACCTAGGTACCACTGGTTTGACGCTGTGGTAGGGAATTTACGTGAGCTCCAAGTGTCGAACTGGCAAGGCGATGTTTATTGTCGAAGGCCAAGACCTATTTCGGGGTCATAGCGCCAGCGCAGTAGTAGTACTAGGAGATGGGAGCCCGTAGATTTTGGTTCAGATAGCGTACTTTCTATTTTAAACATACATTATCGTACGTATGTTTGTTTGTTTACGTGCAAAGTTAACTTGAAATTTTCATTCTTGATTCGATTTATTATTTAAGCGAGTTTTTGTTTGTTTTAAGCTACCCATATTATTTCCTGTAGAATCTTGCAAATTATCTAAGTATCAGTTTCGTCAACGCATGACAAGATTGACCAATTCGAAAAATGTTTGATAGCTTACGATATCAATCGCTCTGAAGTGTTGTAGTTCCTTAACAAATATCGAGTGGTCGCTGTGGAAGATTCAATTACACGTAACTAACGGTTCTTTTAATGTTATTTAAATGTGATATTTTGACGTCACACTCGGATGCGCATTTTACATACATTTGTCGACTTAAGAATAAGAGGGGGGCCTCAATTCGGAGGGTGTTTCTATTGAACTTTGTATTTTCAGTCAAACTCGAATATTTCGAATTTGCTTTTAAGGAAACGAATAAAAGGCATAATAGACGCCAAATTCTCACGTTTTACCATGGAATGGTATCTGTGAATTAAGCTGAAAGTAAGAAAATTTTAAATTTGACAAGAAAATCTCGGCCATAGAGCTACCGCCCTTCTGCTTATACCTATGGCCGCGTTCACTTTGTTCTTGTCTATGGTCCTCGGTAACCATTAAACAAGAGTTGGCCCTCGTTCACTCAAAAGTGAAAGAAAAATAAAATTAGCGGTCATCCACCTCATCATTACATTGTTTTGTACAAAGCTACTTTTTGTTTAATCCGGTAATTTTAAATAATCTATTTTATATAATCTTTCGAGTGTTCAGAGTACATGAACACTGGTTTAATATTTTCGAATAGACGTAAAGAAAAAAAAAAGTTTTTAGCATTTTGATAATAAATAACCGGTTCACAAAATTAATAATTAAAAATGACGAACATCTATTTAGATTTCCGAAGTAAGCAAATTTAAGCAGAAACTAAGTACCTACGATCTTTTTTGTATAGCTTAGATTGGTGGACGAGCTCACGGCCCACCTGTTGTTAAGCGGTTACCAGAGCCCATAGACATCTACAACGTAAATGCACCACCCACCTTGAGATATAAGTTCTAAGGTCTCAGTATAGTTACAACGGCTACCCCACCCTTCAAACCGAAAAGCATTACTGCTTCACGACAGAAATAGGCACAGTGGTGCTACCTACCCGTTCGGACTCATAAAAGGTCCTACCACCAGTAATTACGCAAATTATAATTTTGCGGGTTTGATTTCTATTATACGATATAAATACATAAATACGATATAAATAGTATTGTTAAGAATAAGCGGTAATAAAAGTCTGCGGGGCTTGAGTACAATGGATAGAAGAACATTGGACGTCTTTAAGACTACTAGGTTACCACCATACCTATCTCCTGAAGATAAACAGCGAGACAGGTCCCGACCTTCTGTTTACAAAGAAACAAAAAAAAAGGTGGTCGAATCCAGGAGTTTGCGTCGTATCTGTGTCAACG